GAGTGTATATATATATATACACACACACACACACACACACACGATATATACACATTATCACATTATTACAGATAAGTGGACAAATGTAACTGTGTTTTCATTTAGTTGACAGTTAGCATGCCACCAAATTTGCCTGATAAGCTAGCATACCCTTAGCAAGTTAAATAACATATTACCAAATTTTCTCAAGTTAAAGTCATCAGGATCAGGATATACTTATATACAATAATAAAAAATACATAATATGTATTAATTCATTAATGGCACTACAAAAAAAAAAAGATACTGTTATACTCAATGTAATATCCCACACTGGACACAAAAATAATGATATTAAATATTTAGGTTTAAGATTTTTATGACACCACAAATCATGTGATGATCCACATCTAATAAGTAACCAATATGTGTCTTGTATTTATTGTACTTACTGCTGCCATAGAAACAGGGGTGTCGCCCACTGAGGTGGTAGTGAGCAGCCTAGCCACTCCCTGCACCACCGATGGACAGTCACCCTGAGCACCATCTGATGGCGGTGCCACCAGCGTCAGTTTTGGAGCTGCCTTCTCTCCAGCCTGGAGCCACTTTGAATCGGAATCCATAGCAGACTTGGTCCACATCATCTGGATTGGTCCAGCCCCCTCTGCGGTCACCAGACTTCTCTGAGTGCTGGTATGATGGTTCTCAATCTTGTTACCTTCCTTGTGACTCCGATTAGATGGGTGGATGGAGAAGGGGGTAGAGGTTTGTGTGTTTGATGGCGTTTTGGCAGTGGTGCTCAGCGTGGCTTCAGGTTGCATGCTCGCAGGTACACTCAGACGCTTACGTTTCAGTGCTGGTGGGCCCTGAGTTTCTGGGTTATTCTTACTGTCCTCAGGGGTGGCACTGAACTGAGCATTCCACAGTGGAAAGAGCAAGGTTTGGAAACAGACTTCCAACTATATTTTTCTAAAGAATGCAACATGCAAGACAGTACTCTAAGACTGGGGTTCGTACCTTTTTTAGTTTTGTTGTACCCATTGGCTTCTTTCTTGCCCTGTAAAATGAATAAAAAGGCAATTTATTAACATGACCTTTGGTTAAGTTTCATGTATTTACCTAGGAGGGTTCCACTTGTTTCATAACAGAGTTATGAATATAATTATAATTGTTAATAATGAACAATTTTCTTCAGAAGGATTGGTTAAATATCTAGGAAGTGTGTAGTAGTGTAAAATCATTCTTACACAACACCAGTGATATGGCCATGTGCTTTTCGGGTTTCTATAAGCAGAATCCTATTGAGAGCATGACAGAAATTCAGGAAATTGTTAACAACAATTACCCTTTTTATAACCATTTCATACTGTCTTATAAACACAAGGTTTCATACCTAATAAGGCTTAAACACTTATGGTTGTTTTTTTATGATCTGATAAGTGATATATTTTATTTTTAAGTAATTGATACTTTTATTCAACAAAAATGTATTAATCAAAAGTGACAGAAAAAGACATTAAACAAATGATGTTTATTTGAACTTTCCATTCAAAAATCACTGTTTCCACAAAAATATTAAGCAGCACAGCTGTTTTCAACATTGACCAAAAAAAAAAAAAAATTTTTTTGAGTACCAAATCAGCATATTAGACAGATCTCTGAAGGATCATGTGATACTGAAGACTGGAATAATGATGCTGAAAATTCAGCTTTTAGTGTTTAAGAGCAACAAACATCCACAGAACAAAGGGACATTGTGACAATTACTTATAAATGTTTATTGTAAATTACTTGTCACTTGTAAATTATGAACAACTTAACTAGGTCCTAGAGATTTCACTTACATATCCAAAATTTCAGAGTATTAATGATTTGCTCTATATACCTGGATTGCATCCATCCTTTAGGCCAAAGTGGTTTAATATCAGCCTCTAGGAATCCTTTCAGATACTCTTCCAAACTAGAGCATGCAGGCGACTCCGAGTCATAAATAATCATCTTCAAATTCACAATCTCAAAGAGCAACTCCCTGTAAAAGTTGAAAGAGTGAAATTTGTTCATACTGATTATCAGCGCTTACATAATGAAATGATACTTGATTTTATTTACAAGATCTGGTATCCATTAGATTAACAGAGTATTTAATGAGAATGGACACAGAACTTCTAGCAATTCTTTACTAAAAGCAATCAACAGCTTTTAAAAATCCTGCACACACTCAAGAGACCTGACCTGATCTCTTCATTCCATCTGAACCTCTTGCGAGGCCCAAACACTCGTTTTCCACTCCTCTCCTCTTCTTCCTCGTCGGAACCATCAATTGCCTTCTCTTTCTCAGCCTCGAGTCTTAAAACACAAGAACAAATAAATCAAACCTGAAGTTGCATTCGAATAGCAAACTGCATATCAATTAAAGGGGTCATATGATGCGATTTCAATTTTTCCTTTCTCTTTGGAGTGTTATTCAGAAAGGCGGGGCATAGAGGAGAAACAATAATGTACAGTATGTGGAAAATAATGTGTTTTTTGAACCTTAAACAGCATAAACACATTTCATTACACCAAATACACAAAATAATGTTCTTTTTAGCAGCATCATATGACCTCTTTAAAACATCAGTAAAAGTACAGTGATACAGTGAAAGTGATTGAGGTTTCATGCATTAAAAATGACTGATTACTTGGCAGCTCTGGCTTCAGAGTGAGCTTGGCAGTGATTCTGGAAACGGGTGATCTGTTCTGGCATGGACCTGCCAACCGCATTCTCCAGCTTCTTCAGCAGCTCCCACAGCTGTTCATCCTGATATAACACACATGACAAACACATTAAACTTATAGAGACATTAAACTGGATTTCAGTTACACACACATCAGTAAGATTTTTTAAATGTTTTTGCCTCATGATCACCAAGGCTGCATTTATTTGATCAAAAATACAGTAAAAACAGTAACAGTTCTTACAATTTCAGTCAAACAGTCTGATTTGAATGAAAAATTTAAAAGAACAACTTTTTTTTTAAAATATAAATCTTTTGTAACATTATAAATGTCTTTGTCACTCTTCATCAATGCATCCTTGCTGAACAAAAGTATTAATTTCTTTAAAAAAATATATACATTTTAAAATAAATTTGATTATGATTAAAGATAAAGATTTTGGAATAACATGCTCTGATGAATCATGACCAAATAAGAGCAGGAATTAGCAAAATAATAGGGTCAAATTTAAAGGAATAATTTTTTTTACCAGCTAGTTTCAAGTGGGTTTTTGATGGGTTAAGGATGTTTGCTATGCTGAAGTGCCGTGCAGTTTTGTAAGCTCACAGACCTGTTGGAGACTGTGGAGTTTTTTGGCTCTTTTAACCAGAGTGCCTTTGCTGCAGGACATCTGTGATGCCAAGTATGAGAAGATTCTGGATCGTACTTTCCCAATAAGCTGTTTAGAGTTCACCTCCACACTGAACATACAAAGAGACAAACAGTGAAAGAATCAATACAAGATATTACAGTGCATTGGCTTAAAATATAACCAATATAGAAAAATAATGTGCTTTGCAAATGTTACCCATTTTATAATGTGTAATGTAACTTACTCTAGAAGAACACTGTTGAGCTCTGAAGACAAAATCTCCATCTTGTTTTGTCCTTCAATTTTCTTGACAGCCTACAGAACAAAATGAGTAGTGTATGAAAATAAGTCACATATTCTTGCAAACACTTGTCTAATCCTCTAAAGCTGTAAGAGCAAACAATACCTCTGAAAGTTCTTTAATGTGTTGCTCTAGTGTAGGTGGCAGACCATCGGGAAGTAATTTGTGGGGTTTCTCATCGACGGACACTACCAGAGCATCTCCGTTATCTTCCAGGCTTGGAGAGCAGACGTTCTGCGGCTCCCCCAAGAGTCCATCTAAGTCAAAGTCTTGCTCTGCTGCTTTGACTGCTTGAAGGAGGTCGTCTGCACTGGCAGAACCAATGAGTGTGAGAAGAGGGTCAGCTGATATGGGCGGTTCTTGAACCTCAGCTTGTATAATGAGACCAGTGTCACTGAGAGCATGCGAATCTCTCTCCTTGAACATCTGCAGCTGCTGAAGCTTTTCCTTATGGAACTTCTTCAGCATCTTATCGATACTTAGCAGTTTCTTGTTTTTCTTCTTCTTTGCAGATGATTTGTCTGGTGGGGTGCTGAGATAGAAAACAGAAGGAGGAAAAAAGCAAACAATGAGGGCATTTAAGAAAGAGTCAGTGAAAAGCTTATTCCTAAAGGATGTCGCGAAAAAAAATTATGTTTTCTTAACAGTAAACATTGCACTCTCAAACTAAATTAATCTCTGCAGCAGCAAAAACCTCTTCTTGGCTTCCTCCTCGTCCTTCTTAGCAAGCATGTCTTCCTCTCTCTTTTTCTTCCCAAATTTCTTGTCTTTTCCTTGCGTAAGCTTTCGTTTCTGAGAAAGGAATCAGACCAAATAAGATATAATAATGTATGCAGACAAATGAGTATGTTCATATATTGAACAATCTTTTGCATAAAGCTGAAGACAGAAGACAGCAGAAACTATACTGTACACAACAAACTGGCAAAAACTGATGTTTTTGTAAAAAAGGTGGAAGGGACTTTAAATGTGTTTGCACACCTTAGGTTTAAAACCACTGTCCTCAAAAGCATTCTCGTACTCCTCTCCCTCACCAGAAGCTGGCCGGAACTGCAGAGTTCCAGAGTTGATGTAGAAGCCTCCATATCTGGTGGTGAGACAAGCTGGGACGAGCTCATCATACTGCGGCATGCAGTGGCAGCAGAGAAAAAGAAGACTTGAGTAAAACATTCATGTGCTCTATAAAGGGAATAATCTGATAAAAGTGGTTTTATCATCTGGCCTGAACTCACAGCCTCAGAGTTGTCAATGAATGAATCAGATTCATCATAACCAAAGCCCATATCCACCAGGTCCTGTAATCGGTCTTTTTTTCTTTTGCCAGCTCCACCCTAAATAAGAAAATGGTGGCTATTCATGTATAGCTTAAAAACACACACGCAAATCACAAAATGTTACATATTTACTTTACCTTGTCGAATCATACCATATACAAGTGCAGTGTAATTAAGATCTGGATATCTGGATGTAAATCTGCACTTGCATTTTGACTTCTGAAATGTACTTTGTCTCTATAGCGCTAACAACACTATGATAAAGCTAGAAATATAATCTTGGCAAAATTCATACTCACATATTTTGCTTCAAACTTTTTTGCAAGCACCTCCAGTTCATCTCTCTCCTTGCCCTCCACCACCTCTTCTAATGTTTGTAGTTTATTTTTTTCAGTGGTTTCCTTAAAATGAGAAAATAAGACCATGATTTTCCTAAATACACCAGAATTGGTTTAATCCTGAAGGACTTGCAAAAAAAGCAATTAAAATTATTTTTAACTAAATATTGATAAAATACACATAACGGTTGCTGAATTCACAGCAACATTTTGGCAGGAGTTAGAAAAAAATTAATATAAAATGTCACCACTTTCTATATTTAAACAAAGTCACTTTGACACCATTGCTCACACTAACGGATCAAATATAGTAACTTTCCAAGTAAGTGTTTAACCTTTGACTTATTTTCTAAATTCCAAGAATGTTTAGTGATTGAAAATTATTTAATAGAATACTCAAAGCATTTATATTTTGTTTTTGCATACTTCCAAGCAGTGCTGAAATTTTAAATGCCTAAAAAAATCATGATTTCCATAACAATGATGAAATTCAGTCAAAGCTCGTTTACTTTTGCGCTGATCAAATCTGGGTAGCTAAACTCCGGGCAGCATTGTTCATCCGACTCGAAGAGTTTTAATTCCACTCTCGTTGCAGCATGCGCGGGTGGTGGCGGTCCAACCGCTGGCGTCGGCGCAGGTAAACCTTGGTTGACAGCTTGGTCACTGGCACTGGGGACGGTGGGAAGAGGAAAGTGTGCATTGCTTGAGATTGCGGTGAGATGAATTCTTCTTGGAGCGGCCATATTGCTCAGACCGATAGCAACACTCCACGATTCTTCCCGAACAGGTGCGCGTTTGGTTGATTAATTATGAACCTGTGAAGCCAATTGAAGTAAGTGTCATTTTCTTTCCTCAAAAGGGAAGTTGGGAACAAGCAACACTTCCCAAGCATGCTCCTGGAGGCCTACACTACACAATTTGCATGTCTCATCTGACAAAACCTGTTCAGGTCTGGAGTAACGACTAAGAAAAATACGTGTTGGTTGCTGTTTGGTTGACGCAAAACATCAGTAACGATTTAAAATAGAATAATACCGGTAATAGGCAACCACGTTACAATACAACGTTTGCAGAACTTTTTCTCTTCTTTTAAACTTAATCTGTGCCAACAACGGATTATTTACCAACTACCAAAAATGTAACATACACCGTGTAAAACTTAAAGAAGGCACTTTTACCCTCGCGAGAAATTATATCAACAGCTTCTATAAATTAAATCGCATACGAGAGTAGCCTAGGCATTAATACGGTGACCCTGATTTCACCAAGTAGCTACAACATGTTCCTGGATCAACATCCTTGTTGATCCTGGAACAACATTCAAATTAACCAATCAGAATTGAGGTATAACTTTAAAGGAAATATCTGTTTTAGGTTTACGATCAGGGTTAGGGGCTTCTACACCCTTGGTAATCGGCAGTGGTGGACGAAGTACACAAATCAAGTACTTGAGTAAAAGACACCGCTTCTGCGTCTCAGAGCACGTGATATATTATAAGGAGTAATGAGAAGTTTTATGAAATGTAGTGAAGTAAAAGTTACTCAAAATAAAACTACTCCAGTAAAGTACAGATACTTGAAAAATGTACTTAAGTACAGTAACGAAATTAAACTACTTCGTTACTGTCCACCACTGGTAATCGGCTATAATTTCACATTTTAGGAATATGGGTAGGTTTAGTCTATATTTTTGCACAGTAATGTTGATCCAGGATCAATAAAAGATGTTAAACCAGGAACATGTCTTGGCAAAATCACGGTGACCGTATTAATACCGTAGTATTCCTAATCATGGGCCTGGGCTCGGGTTACTTTTGAATTCTGGTACAAATATGACATGGGCTACAAAAAACCCCCAAAAAACATCTAGGCTCATATGCACGTTTAATCATTAAAAGCATAAGCTATAGGCTCATATGTATGCACGATTAATGTTCAAAAGATCGCAATCTCGATTAAAACACACGCGATCTTATTCCTAAACTACGGTGATTCCGCTATGTCTATTAAACCTTTGAAAACACAATCACATCGGAATATTTTAAACCTGCTTTCGCTCATCATGTAGCCAAGCTTTATGTTTGAAACAGTCTACACAAACAGTCTTCTTACACAGTAGGCTACATTTCTATGTTGCAAACATGAAATAATAACGAAAGTATTTGGAGAAAAGTTTTTAATCCGGATATAAACTCTGATGTTGCGGCAGCCTCGATCAAAACGAGTAATAAACCTTTGGATCTAATGATACGCTTCAAACATGCTATAGATTGTATATGTTACATTATGCCAGTAGGTGGCAAACAGTGACTGCTAAATGTATTTGATGTCTGAATCATTCAAGAGATTCGTTCAAAAACTCTGGACGAAACAAGTCTTCATTTTTTTTTTCAAATGATTTTTTAGCTACATGCATTCATTTAAATTAATAAATATTTTAAAATACACTCATTTATAACATTTTAGACATTTATAAATGGACTCGTAACATTTAAAAAAACCCCCCCCCCCCCCCCCCCCGTTCCGCGATCCATGTTCCTAATGTTTTGGTAAGATAGGCCTATAACTTTAAAACTGCGCGTGAGTTATTTTGAAGATATGTAGCACATAAATGGTCAAAACCGAAGTGCCTCCTACTGTTTATTTGGCAAACTACTTTAACTATAAAGATATGCTTGTGGGAAAACGGTGGTAGTGAGGTTCTTAAAACGCAGTGAAAACACATTTTCTATCTATCATATTAGCTTTAAATGATAAAAACGTTAGCACAAATTATTCACGGTTTAAAACATTTTAGAGCGTATATGCTTGCTGGGGCGCTAACGGGTTTTCTATGTGTTTTACAAAATGTCTCCTGGAACCGGTTTGAGAACTGACACTACTGCATCTGGAGAAACGGCTAGAAATAAAACATACCAAGGATGTGTATCCATGTTATGGTGAATCGTTGATATGCTGTCTTGCATGGCATGTTCTGGTGAAGTCTCCAACAGCCAGTCTCTTCATGAAAGCGTTCGGCTGAGCGGTTTCATTCTGTCTCCGCGGCCCTGAATAGCGTAGCCATCGTCACGCCGATAGTCGACTACTCCCCATGAAAAATTCGCTTGAGTTATCATGGCAATGGAGAATTGTCGTTTTCAGATGCAGAGCGCAAATAGGAGCCGGTCTTTATCTCCAATATGGATTTGTCGATGGTTCACCTGGGCGACCACAAGCCTTTCTGTTCGATCTAGTAATGACGATCAATTATATAGGTAGCGATACATTTTTACTAGACTTATTTCATCATCGATATGGACACCCACAACTATTTCCAAAATCACAGTTCACTGCTCTCATTGGACGGACCACTGCCTAGTCAGTGTAGTCGTCATCATCCTGCGCCTGGTTTTTCATTAGGAAATGTACATTATTTGTTCTGCTACGCTAATCATGTTGTCTCACATTGTTACTGTGGTAAGCTCATAGATATGTATATATATATCTATGGGTTAAGCTGATGTATACGTAAAGTGGGAGAACAGTAGCCTACAAATAGTCTCTTACTGTAACTATTGAGTTTATGTGACATCCTCATTTTCTCATGCCATATCTCTATTATAAATCTCGCGACCAACACGGTATTATGTATTGCTTTTGACCTAACATTAGCTGAATTGTAGGCTACTTTGATTTATGTAATGTCCACAGTACTAGCGTGCAATAAGTAACACCATTGCGCTGTCCATGGTACTGAATGGATACTGTCAATTTATGTACTGAAGTTGACAGACATTCACCAGTAAATATTTATGGACAAGTCTGCCAAATACATTCACTGGAATATATACAGTATTTGTATGGAGTGTTTGAAGTAGTTATGCTCTCTCTCTCTCTCTCTCTCTCTCTCTCTCTCTCTCTCTCTCTCTCTCTCTCTCTCTCTCTCTCTCTCTCTCTCTCTCTCTCTCTCTCTCTCTCTCTCTCTCTCTCTCTCTCTCTCTCTCTCTCTCTCTCTCTCTCTCTCTCTCTCTCTCTCTCTCTCTCTCTCTCTCTCTCTCTCTCTCTCTCTCTCTCTCTCTCTCTCTCTCTCTCGATATTCTAGTCAAATAATAATAATACGGATTGAAGAATATCAAGAACCGTTAATAATAAATTAATAAATTTAAACATCAAGTACATTTAACACTACATTTAAATGATTAATAATTGATTATTAATTAAAACATTAATCAAGATAATAAATATATTTGTGTCATGGAAAAATAGTTCAGTTTATTCTGATTTCGTTCCAGTCCAGAGATGAAGAAGAAGAAAAAAAAACACTTCTGATTTGACATTCATATTAATTAAGGAAACACTCAGTTTCAAACCTCTGCTGTTTGTTTGTAAAAGTGACCAGTAGATGGTAGCAGATCTCTTAAAACTGAATGGAATGGGTGCTGTTCAAACTTGGGGAGTCGTGTCAGAACACATACGAATAAAGTCTGTGAACATGACAGTCACATTAATGAATAACTCTTTGAATTTCATTACCGAATAAAATGAGGTGCTTTTAAATAGTTGCTTTTTACTAAAATTTTTAGGATAATTCGAAAAAACAATGACTTGTAAAGAGAAACTGACATAGCCTATTGACAGGTTCTAACTTCTAAAATAATTTAATGATTGTAGTTCATGTAATTCTCAAAATTGTAATGTGATTCTTACGCTGGAATTGTGCCCATTGGACATAATTATTTTTAAAATTATTATTACCGTTATTATTGTTGATTTGTCTTTATGTGTGTATCTTACCGCTGCCTGTATATGTATCGCTGGTTTGAATCCTATCTCACTGGTAGGTCTTTCAGGGATTTGAACAATGTCTAAGAACTTGGTATTACAACCACTTCCTGTGTCTGTTTGCCTCTTAAGAAGAATCGCTTTATGTATCCCCCAATTGTAAGTCGCTTTGGATAAAAGCGTCTGCTAAATGACTAAATGTAAATGTAAATGTAAATGTATACAGTACAACAAATTGCCCCTCTTGGATAATAAAGATAACATGAACTTGCGGTAATGCTTTGCAACAGATATATGATATCACAGAAAAGTGAGGAGACACTTTCTGAATCTTAATAAGGAATTCATGTGTCTGTGGCCTTCACATGTAGCGCATTGGAATTGAGTCACACTGTATCGATCTCTTTAGACATGTTGCACAGACCAATTTTTAGAGGTCTTTTGCTTAATACAGCGCAATAGTTCTCAATCCAGCTCTACACATTTTGAATCTCAAACTATTTTCGTGAAGGGGAGAAACTTTTGTTGTTAGAGAGAGAGAGAGGATCTGCCAGATGGTAGCACACCTGGTTCATAATCACCACCAACCAGTGGCTGTCTCTCTAATCCTATATGATATGAATCATACGAGATCGGTTTAAAGCGTCTGGCCATTTCACACAGATTGAACAAGCAAATAAAGGCAGATAATTTTACCGACTTTATAACGTTGCTCGGTCTGCTTTTCGTTTCCTCCAGTGGAAACTTCTTAGCCTTCTCTTTAGCTACTTTAAGATTCACCTCACCTTCTTCTCTACGGGCGCTCACCATGGAGCGAGCCTCTTATGAATCGAATTTGACAGTCACAAAAGCGTCATAATTGCAGTCTGTCGCATTCCATTCCATGTTAACATATCACAAACTTATTCAAACGTAATTCGGGACGCATATGCTTTCGCTATCTCTCACTCTCTAGCAATTATAAATGAATTTCACGGTGTAGGCTTTTAATGCTAATAAGATCCCCCTCCCCGCTGGCTTGCGAACGAACAGGCCAGTCTCACTCACAAACGGCGCGAAAACCCGTGGTGTGCGAGAGAGACATGTATGGCCTCAGAGAGAGAGAGGACAGAGGATCAGATTGCATCTCTTTTGTTTAACCAGACTCCTGTTTCAATGAGTTAATGGAGCGGAAATGATTGGAGCCCCGCGGCTTGAGAAGGCCGACAAAAGCGCCAAATTAAAAAAGGTGTCAATAAATGTGTGAAAGACAATGAGCTAAAATACACACGCTTTATAGGGGACGAATTTACGTGATATTAAAAGTGAGGGGGACACGTCCCCCGCGTCATCTACGCCCCTGATATGGAGGACAAAGAGGGACAGATGGAAAGTGAGGAGGGGGTTCCGACCAGTGACAGGACCCCTCAGCGTTTCATCAGAGCGCAGAGAGAGTTACAATATTGTCCTGGGATGATTTAAGGCGCTCTGGGACTCAGGTCCCCAAAGTGAATAATTTAGTCCTTTTATTAACTTGAGCAAACATGAGCTGTTTTTAATTAACCAGTTAGATCCAAGCACGACGGCCAAATGCATTTATCAGTGGGTGGTTTAAGAAGAAGATAAAAGTAAAATAAGTTTGAATTTCAGTATCGAATTTGCTTCAATGAGTTTTGGGCAAGATACTCCCCACAGCTGCTAATTGTATTCTTATGCCACATTTTAGTGGGATGAATATGTACAGTATAAGCACATGGTATCATTGCTATTTAAAGTCTATCAACCATATCATCATAATTTACTGTATAGGCCAGGGGTGCCCAAACTCGGTCCTGGAGGGCCGGTGTCCTGCAGAGTTTAGCTCCAACTTGCCTCAACACACCTGCTGGTAAGTTTCTAGTATGCCTATAAGAGCTTGATTAGCTGGTTCAGGTGTGTTTAATTGGGGTTGGAGCTAAACTCTGCAGGACACCGGCCCTCCAGCATCGAGTTTTGGGCACCCCTGGTATAGGCCGATCTTAAGTTTATGGAGGACGCGATGTCTCTGATCACCACTAGGAAGCGCTGTAACTATCATGAGTGTCATCTGCTGAGTAGCCTAATTAAGCAAAAAATTAAGTACATTTAATTAGGCTAGGGTTCCATAAACACAATTATTATTTTAATTGATAGGCTTATCTAATTGTTCTGTCGCACATTTACCACCACCTTTACTTTGTTTAACTGTGTATAACGTCACAGAGAACCATATTTAGGTAGGCTACTGAGCAAACATCGATGGAGAACAAATTATTGAAAATGTGCTGAAAATATGCTTTTGTATTGTCCTTCATTTCCCCCCTTTTTTTGGTACACGATCATTAGAGTTACAAAAATATTTTAGTCTTCCTTCTTAACTTACATTTCTGAATGAAAATGGTTTCACCACTGTTCATTTATTTGCTTGTTTGTTTTTCAATTTAGTCTAAAGTTTGGAGATAAATTAATAAATCTCAAAAGATTTACACAATTTGGGTGCCTCCTTGAGCGAACACGCAGTAACCTCTAGAAATGACCTGATGCAATGATGAAGATATAAATATATATAGCCTGGTGTCTTAAGAGAGACACCCAAACGTGCAGGTACTCATTGACCAGGATTAGAAGACTGTTTTTGGAGGAGTCCGAGACCAGAAGCACTTTTGGACGACAAGGGTAAGGCCAACGAAGGCTATTCATTAAGCAGTAGAGTTAACCTGCCTCGCCTTAATTAAAACATCCTCGGTAGTTTACAGTGTGGATACTGGGGCGTCTCTGGGGTGTTGGGTTTCCTGCGAGCAGCAGATGGCCGTGCCGGCCGAAAATAATAGTCGACGCTCCTCCTCCCATGCTTCATTGTACCAGATCCGAACAACCGTGAGCCCGCGAGCCACCGGGGGATTGGAACAGCGTGGATAACAAAGAGATATTAACTATTCAGGACCCCCACGAAAGATCGTGGTCAGTGCACATCAAGAACCTGATTGATATCCAGGCGGATGACACGAGTCACTTGAGTGTAAGAGATTTGTTTATTTAGAGCAGAGCAGGGGTGTCCAAACTTTTTTAAAAGGAGGTCAGATTCGATGTCGTGGACACACCGGGGGCCGGATGCATCTCTCTCTCTCTCTCTCTCTCTCTCTCTCTCTCTCTATATATATATCTATCTATCTATATATATATACATATATACACACACACACATACACACACACACACATATGTTAACGGTAGCGGTAGCTTGAGTTGTGTGCTAGATGTAAAAATCTGTAAATATTTTAACAACCTCTTTTTAAAGGGTAAAAACTTAATTATAATCGGGCGAATCCAGGGTTTTCATTTTAGGGGGGCTCAGCCCCCAATGAGGGTATATATATATGTATATGTATATATATATATTAAAATGAAAATGGCAACATCGTTTTATAAAGTATATGCGTTCATATGTGCTTCATTTTCACTGGAGGAAACCTGTGTGTGATGAGGGGTGAACGCAGCGAAAACTTAGGCTATGGAGAACCGATTGCTCCCCCGTGATATTTTG